GAGGGCTCCAAGAGGACCTCCAATACACAAAACAACTTGTCATCCATCATGTGTTAGAACTATTTTAGCGTACTCGCCTTTCTGGACTTCCAACTTTCCGAAGCGGCCCAACAACCTCCCAATACTGCCGCGAGACGGCCCAATATAACGCCAAGACTAGCGAAGAGGCCCCACAGAGGGTCCTCTCGGGCTCCTAGAGGGTCAAACGAGGGGAACCCGAACTAACATTTCAAGCTCTCAACCCCAAGATGGATTCGAGATTCTCCCAGAACCCACGAGGCTCCCAAGAGTCTCCTAAGAAGCAACCGACGGCCATCCCGAGAGACCCCAGCATCCAGAGGGCCTCCGACCCACTGCCCGTGCACCGTGGTGGCGTGGGCCGAATGCCGCTCGGCAACAAATAATCGCCACCGTGCTGCGAGACACGACATGGCACGAAATGGAATGTCTTCTCTAAAGGGGCCCAGGGACACACACACACACATACACATACATACACACATCCCAGGACTCCCCAGATTTGTCCTATATTTTCTGGGTTCTCGTCTTCCACCCAACTTCCAATATGTTTACCATGTTTTCATCCGAATCTACGATTAATTGCGTCTGTGTTTTCCCCTCCTGATTCTCAGCCACAGGCAACGAATGGTCTTCCAGGATCGGCGGCGAGCGAGGGGGGAAGTGAGAAGGAGGAGGCCTTCTCAGAAGGTTCGGGAGTCCCCTGGCCTTCTGAGAAGTTTTCTAAAGCCTTCCCCGAATACATCATTTTCACGATAAAAACTTCTCAGAAGGCGCTTCTGAAAGTCCCGCCGCCCTCTGAGAAGGCCTTCTCCTTCTCCTTTCCCCCCCTCGCTCGCCGCCGACAGGAGTCCGACACCGGATTTCCCGAATTGTTGAGCGCCCCAAATGCGCTCCTAATGTCTGCGGCGAGCGAGGGGGGGACGTGAGAAGGGGCGGGCCTTCTCAGAAGGCTCGGAAGTCCCCCAGCCTTATGAGAGGTCTCCTATAAACAAGCGCGCTCCACTACTCGCAGCGTAGCTACTCGAAAACGGCCCGGATCCATTCCGTCGAGGCAAACACGCTCCATTGCATCGAACAACATTGTTTCTTTCTATGTCTGCGAGCAGGCACTTTGCGAGTGGTGGAGCACGTTCGGTGATCCTACGCCCTCTCCGAGGACACAGAGCACTTCTCGGAAGGCGCTCGCCGCCGCCTCCTCCTTCTCACTTTCCCCACCCTTCGCTCGCCGCCGATCCTGGAAGAGCACTCATTGCCTGCAGCTGGGAATCCAGAGGGGAAACACACACAGACACCACTAATCGTCGATTCCCAAGAGAATATGGGAAAGTATGGGAAGTGGTGGGGAAGACGAACCACCCCAGAAAATGTAGGAAAATACGCCGAGATGGCTTCCCCCTCTTCTACGAATGCAAGGTTTTTTGATTCTAGTCTGGCGCCTCCGCCTCCCTCTCCTTCCTCCTTTCCCGCTTCCTTCTCTCCCGGATCAGGCTCGCCCACACTCGGTCCACTCGTACTGATTTTCATTGACACTCTTTCGGCGGCGAGCGAGGGGGGGAAGCCAGAAGGAGAAGGCCTTCTCAAAGGCGGCGGGACTTCTCAGAGGGCATCGTGCTTCCTGAGAGGCTTTCTGTGTCCCCAAGGAAGGCCAAGGAAACTTCTCGGAAGGCCAGGGGACTTCCGAGCCTCTGAGACGGCTTCCTCCTTCTCACCTCCCCTCCTCGCTCGCCGCCGACTCATCCTCGGTCGTCTCGTGACGGCGGTCCCGAAGCTGGGAAACGGCCCCCCGTGGCTGGAAAAATGGAAGCGCCAGTGGCCCATATGTTTGCTGCGACCCCAGGAGGAGGAGGAGGAGGAGGAGGAGGAGGAGGAGGAGGAGGAGGAGGAGGAGGAGGAGGAGGAGGACGAGGAGGAGGAGGAGGAGGAGGACGAGGAGGAGGAGGAGGAGGAGGAGGAGGAGGAGGGGGCCCCATCCCCCAGGTAGATTGCATGTCCCAAGAATGTTTGGGGGGCCCTGGGATCCGACGATATTCCTCCCGAGGCCCAGGTCGTGGGAAACGGCGGCGCTGGTTGCCCCCATGGACTTCCCTGCGCGCTCCGACTCGGAAGCAGGTCGTGCGCAATCGCTGGGCGCCGCGCGGCGACGACGACAACCCAACCGGTTACCAGCATCGCAAGCCAGCTCGCTGGAACAGCCAGCCGTGCTCCCACGGCTGCTGGTTAAGGAGCGACGAGCCGCTTTCAACTCGCAGCGTGTCCCGCGGGCGCTCCCCGAGTGATGCCCGAGGCTCGCAAGGCTCCTTCCGGCCAACAAGCGCCTGCAGCGGCGACTCGTCGACGTCCGCGTGGATCGGCACCTCTGGGCGGCGAAGGCGGTGGGCGGTCGCAGGTCGATACAGCGGTCTCGCGCGGTCCTCCAGACCTGGGCGACTCACATGCTTGTCGACGCGACAATCCAATCACAATCACTGCGGCGCCATGGGGAACGCTGAATCCGCCGACCCCCGTTTGCCGGGCCCAAGGTGAAAAGGCGCGCCCCAAGACGATTGGAGTCCCGACGTTTTTTTCAGATTGTCGCGTTCTCGCTTCTTCGGGTTTGAGTATGGCTGGGGGTCAGGTCTGCAGAACACCCCAAACGGACGTCAAGGGGCGCAACCAACCTGTTCGGTCATTGGAATTGAGGCACTAAACATGGCGTCAAGCCAAAACTGGTTGGACTTTGCACATCTTCGTCGGCTCAACTGGCGAGGCGTTTGACCACCTTGACGTCCCTTTTTTGGTGGTCCTGCAGGGGAAGGCGCTCTCTGACCCTCGGCCTTACTCAGCTGCATGTTTCCGACAGCCAGCGTACACAAAAAGCCGCCAGACTGGCCAAAGAGGCTTCCAAGAGAGCCCGGCGACGGCTGAAGAGGGCCCCAGGACGGCCTGCGAGGCCCCCAGGGCGGCAGAAGACGGCAAAGGCTTCAGAGGGGGAGCTCGAAGAAACCTTGCGATCCCACACCCAGGATGGCCCCCCAAGCGCTCCAACGCACCGGTTCGAAGACCGCCTCTTTCGACCGCACGAGCCCTGCCCATTTATGCCTGGGTTCTTGGAGGCCACGCGGAAAGGCTGCGCGTGCAAGGCCGAGCAGAGGAAAATGGTGAAAAGCTGGGTGCTCCGACCAGGTCAGAACGACAAGCGGCTGCAAGATCCCGCTGTCCGTGATGGGTTCGAGATGGCCATCGGCTCGAAGGCCGTGCGCAGGCATGCCCCCAATAGGCCCATGAGAGCCCCCGAGACCCCAGGAAAACCCAAGAAGGTCCCAAGAGGGTTCCACAGGGATGCGAGCATTCCTAAGTGGCCCCGCGAGGGCCCCAACACCACCCTCCTCTCGCTAGTGGGTCCTCAGGGTGCAATAGCAAGCATCTGATTGCTTTGGCCCAGGCTTCTCACAAGTCGACGATCAGACTTAATGCCCGCCGAGCTCGATTCGACGGGATTCCTCCCCCCCTCCTCCAGGCTCCTCCTGGACTCCGTCCTGGCATTTGTTATGAGCCGCGTCCAAGCGTGGCCACGACGGCCCTCCCAAGACACCTGAACAACACCGTAAAACTCATACTCTTTCCTCCCTCCTTCTCCGCTCCCCTCCCCGGACCTCAGCTGTTGTGATGTTGCTAAATGTGCGGGCTTGCAACGCTATATATACACATGTATTTGTATATGAATATGTATATATTTATGTGTATGTATATGTATATGTATATGTAGGTTACTCACCATATCCAAAGGGGGTTCTTGCCTTCTCTGGGCACCCTCCGCGCACGAACACCTCCCTCCCACTCACCCCATCATCGGTCATCAACATCATCTTCATCTTCTTCTTCATCATCATCATCATCGGTCATCATCATCACCACGAACATCATCATACCCAGTCACCCACCATCGATCACCATCACCATCGGCCATCGATCATCATCATCATCATCATCATCAGTATCAGCATCAGCATCACCACCACCGCTATCATCATCATCATCATCAGCAGCATCATCATCATCATCATCATCATCATCATCATCATCATCATCATCATCATACTCAGTCGTACATCGCACACGCACACTCCAGCTCATCACTCAGCACGATTTTCCTGAGTCATGAAAGCGGGGGAGGCATCAGGCGGGAGTCTCGTGTGTGAGTGAACTGTGAGGAAGTCTCAGGCGGGAGCACTCTCCCTATGGGGCCCGCACTTGATGTTTCTAATCCGAGCGGGTAGCCCTCGAACTTGTAATTGTCGTCACCTTTGTGCTCCGGAGGCATGAATATGGAGGAAGTATCAGGCGGGAGCCTCGTCTGTGAGTGCATTGCGAGGAAATCTCAGGCGGGAGCCCTCTCCCTATGGGGCCCGCGCTTGATGTTTCTAATCCGAGCGGGTAGTCCTCGATGTTGTAACTGTCGTCACTTTTGTGCTCCGGAGGCGGAGTGCATTGCGAGGAAGTCTCAGGCGGGAGCCCTCTCCCTATGGGGCCCGCGCTTGATGTTTCTAATCCGAGCGGGTCATCCTCCAACCTGTAAGTGTCGTCACTTTTTTGAGCTCCTGAGGCCTGAATATGGGGGAAGTATCAGGCGGGAGCCTCGTCTGTGAGTGAATTGCGAGGAAGTCTCAGGCGGGAGCCCCCTCCCTATGGGGCCCGCACTTGATGACTCTAATTCGAGCGGGTTCATCCTCGAACCTGTAACTGTCGTCACTTTTGGGCTCCTGAGGCTTGAATATGGGGGACGTGTCGGGCGGGAGGCTCGTCTGTGAGTGCATTGCGAGGAAGTCTCAGGCGGGAGCACTCTCCATATTGGGCCCGCACTTCATGTTTCTAATCCGAGCGGGTAGTCCTCGAACCTGTATCTGTTGTCACTTTTGTGCTCCTGAGGCCTGAATATGGGGGAAGTATCAGGCGGGAGCCTCGTCTGTGTGCATTGCGAGGAAGCCTCAGGCGGGAGCCCCCTCCCTATGGGGCCCGCCCCTCATGTGTTCAATCCGAGCGAGTCATCCTCGAATATGTAGCTGTCGTCACTTTTGGACTCCTGAGGCCTGAATACGGGGGAAGTATCAGGCGGGAGCCTCGTCTGTGAGTGCATTGCGAGGAAGGCTCAGGCAGGAGCCCTCTCCATATTGGGCCCGCACTTCATGTTTCTAATCCGAGCGGGTCATCCTCGAACCTGTAACTGTCGTCACTTTTGGGCTCCTGAGGCTTGAATACGGGGGAAGTATCAGGCGGGAGCCTCGTCTGTGAGTGCATTGCGAGGAAGTCTCAGGCGGGAGCCCCCTCCCTATGAGGCACGCACTTGATGATTCTAATCCGAGCGGGTCATCCTCGAACCTGTAACCGTCGTCACTTTTGGGCCCCTGAGGCCTGAATGTTTGGGAGGTATGAAACTGGAGGCTCGTCTGTGAGTGCATTCGGGATGGGCCGAACGCGACTAAGATCCGCCGCTCCCTGTTGATTCATCACAGTGGTGCCTTGTGTGCTAGATCCTTTCGGTTTGGGTTTTTGTTCTTTTTCCAAAATAACCCCTCGGGGCTTCGGTCCGTCCCGCCGACATCCGAAATGTTGCCCAAAGTTTCTCAAAATCCATCTGTCGACGCCTTTAGTGCCCCAAGATGGCCCCCAAAATTGCTCCAAGACGGCCACGATGGCCTCCAAGACGGCTAAGATGGCCCCAAGATGCCTCCAAGACGGCCCAAGACGGCCTAAGATGGCCTCAAGATGGCCCAAGAGGCCCCCAAGAGGCCTCCAAGATGGCCCAAGGGGCCTCCAAGAGGTCTTCCAGAAAGGCCGGAAGAGGCCAAAACTATTCATATTCTTTAGGTTTTCGAAGGATTTTGGCATTTGCTTCTTTTCGGCCTTCCGACGGCTCAAGATGGCCCAAGAGGCCCCCAAGATCGCCCCAATATCGCCCACGAAGCCTCGGGCCCCAAGACGCCCCAAGAGGCCTCCAAGACAACCAACATGGCCTCCAAGACGGCTAAGATGGCCCCAAGATGCCTCCAACACGGCCCAAGATGCACCCAAGACGGCCTGAGATGGCCTCCAGATGACCCCAGACGGCCCAAGAGGCCCCCAAGAGGCCTCCAAGAGGTCCTCCAGAAAGGCCGGAAGAGGCAAAAACTATTGATATTCCTTTAGGTTTTCGAAGGATTTCGGCATTTGCTTCTTCTCGGCCTTCCGACGGCTCAAGACGGCCCCAAAGATCGCCCACGAGGCCTCCAAGATGGCCCCATGACGGCCCGAGAGGCCCCCAAGACGGCCCCAGGAGGGCCCAAGAGGCCTCCAAGACGGCCAAAATGGCCTCCATGACGGCTAAGATGGTCCAAGATAGCCTCCAAGGCGGCCCCTGAGGTGGCCTCCAGATGGCCGAAGACGGCTCAAGAGACCCCCAAGAGGCCTCCAAGACGGCCCAAAAGGCGTCCAGGTCTTCCAGGAGGGCACGACGGGGCCAAAATCATTGATTGTCCTAAGGTTTGTAACAGACTCCAGCATTCTGACGGCTCAAAACGGTGCAAAAGGCCCCCAAGATCGCCCAAGAGGCCTCCAAGATGGCCCCATGACGGCCCAAGAGGCCCCCCAAGACGGCCCCAAGCCTGATATGCCCCAAGACGACCCAGACAGGCCCCCAAGACGGCTTCCGACGGCGTCAGGCACGCCAGGAGCGCCCTAAGACGGCCAAAGAGGCCTCTAAGAAGCCCCGAAAGGCCCCCCCAAACCCTCCAAGAGGCCCGCAGGAAGCTCCCAGGAGGCCCCAAGAGTGCCCCAAGAGGCGCCCAAGAGGCCTCCTCCTCCTCCTCCTCCTCCTCCTCCTCCTCCTCCTCCTCCCCCTCCTCCTCCTCCTCCTCCTCTTTTTTCCTCATCCTCCCCCTTCTCCTCTTCTTGCTCCCCCATGCGTTCACCAAAGTCTTTCCAAACCGACTTTGGGAACAACTGGCCCGACAGCTTTGCCAAGCGTTGGCCCAGCTGTCGGCCACAGAGGCGCTTCCAAAGGGGCAGGGGGCGGCGGTGATTCGCCGTAGGCGTCTGCGATCCGCCGCCCCCTGTTGATTCATCACCGGGGTGCCCGGCGTGCTGAATCCTTTGACGTTTGGTTTCGGGGGTTTCGGCTCCGCCCGCCGGGGTCCCGGAATGGCCCGGAAAGGTCCCCGAATGGCCCGGAAAGTGTGGCTCCAAAAATTATTTCTGCTCCAAATGGCTCCAAGATGGGTTCCAAGATGGCAAGATGGCTCAAGATGGCCTCCAGGTTCGCCAAAGATGGTCCAAGATGGCCTCCCAGACGGCCCAGGAGAGTCCAAGATGCCTCCAAGTTCGCACAAGAAACCTCTCAGAC